ACAGTGTATGCCCCTCTTCTCGCTCCTCACAGTTTGTTGCATGATGCAGTTCAGTCGAGTCGACCACAATGAGGAAGATGATGAGTGATAGTAGACGGCATCCTTGTTTTACTCCTGTCTTCACTTGAAAGGCATTACTCAGCTTTTCATTTTGATGCTATAGTTTGTTCTAACATATGCATTTTTGACTGTAAATTTTGATCATCTGGAGGAAACGCTTTAACTGTGTCATATTTCACGGTAGTCAGTATGACATCTAGTCCAATCACTGGTCTTCCGGTTCCGGGAGTATGGGTTTCTTCTATCTGGTATTCGAGCAACCAAACCTCAAAACAACCAACCGCAAAGGGCTGTGTATGACAGGCCTCAAGCAGATGTTTCATGAACTGGCTCTGCGGTAACACAAGTCCTTTTCTCTTTCAGGTACCCAAAAGGCAAACGGCTTTCCATGGTCTGGCAACCGGGAAGTGTCAACCACTCGCACGATTCCAGTAATACACAAGACCCAATCAAACATAACTTATCCTCCTCAACTCTGTCTCCTCCTTTCCCTTCACCTCCTGATACTAATATTAAGACTATTGTGCTTTACCCAACCCCTCACTCTACAACCATTGCTAATGAGCAAAGCCATCGAAACCTCACTTCCAGTCTCTTAAGACTCCGTTATCGACTTCATGTAGGAGATTCCAAGGCTCGATCTCTATGCTAAATCGGACAGCAAGCATCGCTTGCCAGAACTCTAGAGCTTTCAACCATGGATGTATGCTGTGTCTCTTCGACAAGTGTACAAGATCCCAGTGTGGTTATTAAAGTGGCCTCACCTGGTCATTGTAGTGAATCTTCAAAATTCACCTAACAAGTATCCTAAGATATAATGCCTGGCTCTCGTGGAATGGTTTGTGTGGGTATAGCATTGAGTTGTAGAACAGAAAGTGCACTCCTCAGCTGGATACCAGTCAACAGCCGTTTTTGTACTATTCGATTGGATGGGTCTGTAAAAATTAGGAAGCATTGTGAGACTAGGCGATGTCTATTCATAATCGTCGCCGCTGACTACAATTCGGGTGATGTAAAGGATGAGTTGTGTGAGAAGCTGTCAACTTTGCTACAGAAAGCAAAGCGGTCAGATGTAGTTATAGTGACAGATGATTTTAACAGTCAAGTAGGGAAGCTGAGCCAAGTGGAAAGGCGTCTTGAAAGGCATCTACGGAATTTCATGCCAATAAACCGATAACGGTGGTCGTCTTTTGTAGTTTTGCTTCGACAATCACTTGTTTGTGGCCAGCACTGACTTCAAGCAGGAAGAGAGATACGGTCTCCCATAGCATCCCGCATCTTCAAGCCAATGATGGACACAGATCTTATTGCTTTTTAACCATCTTCGGAAAGGATCGGTGGAGGATTGCTTCTGTTTCTGGAGTACCACGGTTTGGACTATGACCACGTGTTAGTACGAGCTCTTGTATACCTAATCCTTTCTGACTGCAGGAAGCAGAAGGCAGTGAGGTTCTGCTTGATTTGAGGATAAGAACATGAAGTGTGTATCTAGGGAGAAGTTAGCTAAGGACTAACCTGGACGTGACAGCAATACTCTTCCTGAGGAAACCTGGCGTCATATTAATTTTGGTGTAGAAACAGCGGTAATGACAGTTGGTAACTTACACTTGAAGGTCCGTAAACGTCATCGGTTTTCCGCAACGTCATCCAAACTGATCGATACGAGAAGACTGGTTCTAGCAGGCTGTGACCACGACGAAGAGCGAAAACCACTTAAGCTGACCAAGAGTCTTCTCGTCGATCGCGAGCAGAGGTGGGTAGCAAAAGCAAGAGAGATGGAGGAAGCATCAGCGTTGGGTAACAGTTGGGAACTATTTAGACTTATTAAGGATACCGACAAGAAGATGATGGTGAGTGTAACCATCACCGAAACGGATGCGACGCTGGTAACCTCCTAGGTCAGGCGGCTACAGTGTTGGAAAATAGTTCAACTGACCCTCAGCAATGTTCCAGTTGCCCAATATCTAGCCTCAACCTGAATGGCACGTAGATGTCGTTCCTCCAACTCTCCTTGAAGTTGAGAAAGCTGTATCGAACCTGAAACTATGCAAAGTGGCAGGACCTGACAGTTTGTCACCCAAAGTTCTCAAGTATAGAGATAGGAAATTCTTAATCAAAGTGACAGAGTTGCTAGATAGTGTATGGACATCAGGCGTATTGTCGTAAGACTGGTCTACTCCACCCACTATTCCATTCTATAAGAAGGGAGAGGAGTCTTCTGGTGGCAACTATTGGGGAAGGAGTTTGATTAATATTGTGTCTAAAATCCTAGGATCCATAGTTATCTGACACCTAACTGCAACTTGAAAACAGCAAACTCAAGAAAACCAGGCAATTTACAGACCTGGACGAGGGTGTATCGATCACATTTTCACCCTCCCATAGGCCCTGGAACACAGGCATACTTACCGGCCAGTGGTCGGCACTTGCCATATTTCTGAACCTGAAGGTGGCATCTGACTCTGTCCACCGTGAGGTGTTATGGCAGTGTGTTTCTTTGAAGAGAGTAGCGGGGAAGAATATAGTGCTTATCAAAACTCTCTACTAGAACTCACATAGCTATGTAAGGGCTTGTGGAGAGTTGTCATCAGAATTGATGACAACTAGTGGTGTCCGCGGGGGATGCCCATTTTGACCGTTTCTATTCAACTTCATCATAAACGTAGTGATGGACATAACCTAAGGTACGTCTGACTTCATCAGGATTGACCTACTCATTGGAGGTCGTCTAGTTGACTTGGAGTATGCAAGCGATGTTCTCCTGATCGGTGAGGATGCTGACGAAAGGTATGGTCTTCTGAATACATTGGGCAGAAATCTACGTATGTTTTTCCCCTGTCAAACGAAGGATGATGCTCCATGACTGGTGTGCTGCAAATACTTCCAGCTTAGTGATAGGGAGTGAAGTGGTGGAATGTGTCGAACACTTCACTTACTTAGGGAGTTGTATCAGACCGAATAGACTGATGACTGACGTAACCTTAGCTCTCATACAAAAGACCCGTTCGGGATTGGCTAACTTGCGTTACCTATGGCGCCGACTGACGAGATATCTACTACCTACCAAAGGACGAGTATACTGTACTGCAGTTCGTTCTATCCTGTTGTACGGCTGAGATATAGCCATTGAAAGTAGGCGACATGAAGCGGTTGCAAGGTTTTGATCATGTGTCTTCGTAGTATTGCTCGCGTTTGGTGGAATAACTGTGTGAGCAGTGTTGAGATCAGGTGAAGAATACTAGGCAAGATAAACAAGTAGATTGATGTGCTGATTATTAGTCGACCGATATCGCTTGGACGTGTACTGCGCATGTTAAGCCACTGCCTACCTCGACGTACCATGCTAGGGGAAGTTCGACCGCATTGGAAGACGGTTTAGGGTGACCAGACCAAGACGTGGTACCAGTCCATAAGGTCTCTTGTTGCTGGTCTGGGCCGTATGTGGAGATGTTGCGTGCCTGGTTGGGATCCGTGAGATGAAAGGAATGAGTGATTGAGGACTCTTGATGATATGGCTGAAAGTCGGTCACGTTGTGTTGATGTATTCACTCTTTGTCACCTAAAGCTTAAATATTCACACTAACCGTTATCCTCATGTTGTTTATTCTTTTACACTATTTTGTTTACTTTGATATCACTTGTTTGTATCCACCTTTTCTTTGTATACTGCTGTGAGGTGTGGCAACTTGTGCATGTGTGCGAGGTTCTACACTGATTTCGTTGATCTGTTTGTCTGTCTGCTTGAAAGCGATCACATAGGGCCTTTTCAGAAGTTTGAAACTTTCGTTTGCTTTTCGGAAATTCGACTATTAACCCATATCTCTGGTATTAGTATACCTCAAGGAAGGACGGCAGCACGCTACTTTTAGAGCCGACCTCCTCCAAGTCCCCTTCTCCACAGGGAAAGCGGCATCACCATGGGGCTGTTGATCATCTGTGGAAAACACCTTATTGCCCTCACACCCTCATCACGTCAGAAGTACGACGTCACCCCAAGACTCTCAACCACAACTGCCTCTTGAAGTTAACACCATACAAACTCACCTTTCTGGTACAGTAGGACCTCAAGGGAGCAAGCCTTCCATTAGCATAGCTCTTTCTGTCATCTCGATAACTACACCCAAACACTACGTCAATGTAACAGCTATCGGTTTGTGAAATGACTGAAAATAGGTTACACTGGCGCATATGTATTCATAATTTGACATCTTCTAAAGCTCGAATATTTGCACTCACCTTCATCTCTAAGCTACTTGTTGTCTCACACTACTTTGTTTACTTTTCTATCAGTTTTCTTTGAACCACCTGTTATTTGTATACTACTTTGAAGTGTGGCAACATGAAGCAATGTACTTATCTGCTAGGTTCTACGTTGAGTTTTGCTTGCCTGTCTTTTCTTATCTGAAGAGATTAGCTGTATTTCAAACGAATATTTCAACTGGCTGTTTACTTTTTATCTATTTCTTTATAAGTAAATTTTTAATGCAAAGTTTACTAATAACACATAAACTTTTCATTGATATATCTGTTTCTTTCTTCTCTGTTATTTCCAATGTTAACTGTTCCTACCGTAATGTCTGTTTTCATTGTTTGGCAGTTGTCACTTCATATCCATCATAGAAATTGCATCTCAGTGACTAAGTGTGACTACGAGTCACACTTACACTACGTGAGCATCAACGATACTGATCATTTATTCATATTTTATTACTTAGGATAAAGTTCAAACCCGACCTGATGGTGATGGCAGCAGTGAACTGCATTCATGCGGAAGAGGTTCTGATCCTCACTGATCGTCATTATATTCATGCTAAGAGTAATAAGTGATTGCAAATATCTATAAGGATAACTATATTCATGGTAACTTTGATAAGATGTCGCTTTTACACTTGGATCCAAGTCTTTTGCTTAACTTTTTTCTCTTTCAATATAACTTCAAGAACACCAAAAATCCAATGTTAGATGTAAGTTTGTTTTCATTTGTTTAATCATTAAAAGAAAATTAAGCACAAAATGATGACTGAAAAGAATAGCGACTTGTTGGATATCTTCTGAAAATCCTGCTTTCAATCAATACCAATATTTTGAGTTACATAAATCTTCTGTCGACCATGTACATGAAAGTACAAAAAGGCGTTTCCCATCAAAAATCATTATATACCAATGTCTGATTATTATCATAAAGAGCTACTAACGTCCTACATTTGACATCTCTTGTCTTCATAGATTAAGAGTGGTGAGTGAAATCATATATAGTGCAAGCTTATGTAAATAAGTTGTACACTCACCGTATATACATCCTGGATTTCAAAGGTTGTTCATCGGGTTGCTATTCTTTACGAAAAGCTTTCGTTTCAATGATAAAACATTTTCAGTGGTACATAATTTGAATCAGTATTCATTGCAAAGAAATAATCCACTGCATTTTTTGTGTCATATTACTACAGTTCATCTTCTGCTTAATTAATTCTTGCATTCCACTTCTCTCAACTCTTTCTACAACTCTGTTAGTTATGATTTCTTATGTTGTGCTAATCAGCTAATTTTTATACCAACAAGCATATTACTATGATAGTAAATTATGGTTGTTTATTGTAGCATCAGCACTTTGTCATTGCTTATGAAACTAACTTAAATTTCACCACATTGAGTTATTGAGCTTTTTCGTTTATTAAAAATCTCATTTTCGTCAGCAATAGTTAACTGTTTAACCAGTTATAAGAAGATTTGGAATGATAGTAGATTTTTCTACGTTTCTAGTTGAATCGGATTAGGGTGTTGATTGATTGATTGTTACTGAATCAGTATACCATTATTCCTCATTCAAATGCTACCGTAATCCATGTTCCATCTCAGCTTCAGTTATCTTCCATTATTTCATCATTTGTATTTTTGAAATCTGGACTGATTTCGTCTAGAATTTGTCCATATTTGATGATTATCAATATTTAAAAGGATATAGAAGAAAATATAAGATAGCCATTAAATGTTTCATTCTAGTTTAAAACCTTTTAGCATTGTGCACCAGTGGTCTCATAGAATAACTTAAGACATATCAATTCCACATTGAATTGTTCAACATTTGCCAAACGATTGGAAATGTAAAAGGTGGGATTTCTTGTTGAATAAGAATAAAATATACTTGTTACCACATTAGGATAGTTGCACACTGTCATTAAAAAGGATTGATCTCCCTCATTTTTCAAACTCAGTTGGATAAGTTTTACATATATTTCATAATATTGGAAATCCGCAAACTGACTTTGAATTTTATAAAACTACACTTTTGCATTATAAAGTGCTGTTTGCTGTTAACAATCGTTTTTCGCTCAATAACAATATTCTCGGCGCTCAACTCATTTCTTAAGGTATTCAGTAGTTCAATAAAGATTTATTGCTGTGTTCAGCGATACACTTTGTTCTAACATACTATTTTAAAACGTTGCTATTGAAGATGTCATCTGTGTGTGTATGTGTGTGTGTGTGTGTGTGTGTGTGTGTAGTAGCTAGCTCTTTCTAGATATCATATCTGCGATATATATAATCCCTACCGAAGAATCATGAAGATCGATCAGGGAGTTTCGATAACGAAAGTAAACCAGTTGATCAGAATTATAACGTGTATCGAGTGTGATATTAGGCATTTCAGGTTTCTACTTGAAAAGAAGTATAAATTTCATATGATCTCTGTGTTGCTTTAACTCTAATATAGTAAAATATTTCCTGAATGAGAAACCTCATTTATTTCATAATTTTTATCAAAGTAATTGACGCTTGTGGATGTCAATTGCTCCGTATAATTAATTAATTGACTAGTAAATTGTTTTGAAAATATTTCGAGTAAGCTGTTCGATGCGGATGAATTTCCAGTTAACAGTTAATATGTATACATTTTGTCTATTAATTCACTTAGGTTGAATATATATTTCTTCAAGATTTCACTGTATATTTATTTTCTAATTCAGTCATATAATGGATAATTGGCAGTTTATTTAACATTGACACATTCTCTCCATGGTACTTTTTTGTTTAACTCATATCGATACTAAGCAAATCGTTGTGATTTATTTCTTCATAGTTCAGACTTCACTTTTTCTGTTGTTACAAGAATTTACTGGTTTTTACCATTTTCTGCTCAACACTATACACAATCCATGGTAATAATATGTAACTTGTAATCCAATCATGTATTCATTTGAACGAAAAGATGCTTATCATATTAATGCTTCTATTCTTCCTCAGTAATTTAGGGAACTATTTATCAGTTATTGGTGGAATTAACCTGTTTTCAACTTTATTATTTACATCATTCCTGATGGCTTTATTTTCCTCGAAATCTCGACATAATTACGAATTCGTTGATTTCCACCATCGATAACAATGAGGACACATAAAACTATGTATTGACTTTTAAGTGTACTGTACAGCGTAATTTGTTATCCCTTACAACTGTAGTTGTTAAAACAGAAGGCATAAAAACACTGTAGGTTTTGGTAATACTTGTCTCTGTAGCCTTGCTCTTGTATAGTAGAAGCATAAAGTGAGCAATGTTGAAGGAAAACATAAAATATCAGCCAAAAAAGGCAAATCGGTTGGTGAGATCGTGAAACTTCACCGACTGAGTTGGTGTGTTGTACATGTTGAAACACTATCTACATCGACATACAGTGTTAACCGAAGTAAGATGAGGTTGGAATAAAGCTAAAGGTGGTCAAACCAAGAAATGACACCAATTTATAAAGTCTCTAACTGTTAGTCTGAGTTGTGTTGAGAGGTATAAACTGCCAGACTGGCGGGGTTCTCAAGATGACAGGAACTTATGTTTTGAGACTCACTTTGATATGATCAGTTGATCACAATAGTCTACTCATATTCCTTTTTTCTTCTTTAAAATTCCGAACGTTTTCACTAACGCTTATTTATTTATTCTGTCTCATCCTTTCGTCTTTTTTAATGTCATTCTTTTTCTGTCCACTTTTTCATAGCATGTTACTGTAAAGTGTAGTGACGTGATGTCTGTCTCATTCGTTTCTTCGTTTAGTATTACTGTAGACTGTTCATTTTTACTTTTTAGGGAAGTACTTATACATGATACGATTATTTTGCTTCATCTTTGATACTTTTACCACCAAATGTTGATGTTCTGCTTTGAACCTCTTAAAAAGAAATAATAAGCGGGCGTTTCCGAGAAATTACAGACTAAAGTCATAATTGTTGAATATTGTTCAGTTTGTAATGATTCTTCAACGGTGCGGCATATTTGGAGCTGTGGCTTTTTGGTTTAGGTAGATAACTTTCGACCAATAGGTCAAGTGTTCGAACCACGCTCCATCTACCGAAGTTTGGGCAGCCAGGCAGCATGATTATTCCGCACACAATATGTATGGCTGAATGCCTACTGCATGGACGTGCACAAGGTTTCTAGGTGGATTTTGATTTGATTTTCATTACGATATTGTAACCTAGCGTTGATTGTTAGTTTTGTTTTAAAACATGTGTCTGTCAATGAATGCATCTTGTTGACTAACTGAAACAACTCAGTGATGCACTGCATTCATTTGAATTCTGATTATATCCACTGTTTTGATACTAGTATCGGCTAGCCGGTATAATCTAATGCACTTACAAAGTAATATACCAACCAGTTGTAACGTTAATGCATGTCTGTTGACCAGGTTTCTTTGGGCAAAGTTACTGGTTAACTGTTCCCTGTCTTGAAAACGAACTTCATTATCTATGTATTACACTATGCTAAACTCAGAAAGCTAAAATGTTACTTAGTAACCTATTCTCTCGACTATAATACACACTTTCAAATCATACCTTACCTACTTAGCTTTATGTATCTGCGCAGAATAGAATTTATCTGCTTCTCAAGAATATTGTAAGTACATTTATGGGCAGTTTAATGGGTGTTTTTTTCTTTTCTTTCGTTCTTAATTAGAATACTAATAAGACTATTTCTTTCTGTTTAGCATAGATTGCAAACATATTAACCTTAGGACTAAATTTTCAACTCTTCAGATATGAAATCGTCATGAAACTAAACTTGATGAAATGTTTTCATGTTAGATGATCATGAAGATATTGGATAGTGTCAGCGGTTTACCCTGTTGATTCTTTTGTCTTATTTAGTGTAATCGTACAACATAGGACTTTGTTAATCCATGTGTCTGTATATGCACATATAACGACTTTATTCCCTTTTTATCCCAGCTAAGTAAAGACATGGTTCAAAACAATTTTTTAGGAGATAATCTTTTAAGAAAGTATGGCAAATTGGATAGTTGGGTGATGATTTTAGTCTTTTTGCAGCAAGCTATACAATCTTGAGTTTTCACTTGTTAATCACTTAGTCGTAATATAACTGTAGACTTAACCAAAATATTTAGGCATGTTTATTACACAGTTATCTCTCTATGTTCTCTGGTGTCCTTGTGCTTCTTAGGAATATTCTATAGTGAATTCTGGCACCAATGTTAGTGAATTATTGAAAGAGGTACTTACACGCGTTGACAGATAAAACCTCTTAAATCTTCGAGCCATACTAGTTCACCGTGACTTTTTCAGTAGCTTCAGGCTTCTTTTTAACGATTTAAACAGTAACGTCTAAACATCTCGACAAAAAGACATTAGAAGAAGGGAGAAGTATGTTAAGTAATAAGCTATTAGGCTACGATAACCTTTTCGTTAAAATTCTATAGCATCGTCTAGTTAAGTATTCAGTAAGCTATGTGGCGTGTCACATTCATTTGAATAAAATCAGACTGAGAAAAACTTGGCTAAACAACTTTTAGATTAATGTGAATGCTGAATGTATCTTAGCAATTGAGATTGATTTTTCAGAAATAAACTATCACGATTTCTTTCTGTCCTATGACTAGTATCAGCTACAGATGACTTTTTAGATCGATGTCAAGTTTTAGTATGTTTATGCTTAAATCTTTTGCATTGTATACGTAATGCATTTACAGGTACTAAACCTACCTGTTCTTCGCATGCTGCAGTGAAGTATGGCAACTTCAACTGATTCACTTCCGTGCAAGATTCTACGCCAGTTTTTTCTGTATACGATAAAGACACCAAATGAACGTTCATTACCTCGTCAAACAGTTCTCGATAATGATACCTCAAAGCCTATTACTGTCGAGTACTAGTACATCAGTTGGTCATGTGGGATTTTTACATAAAAATAAGAGAAAGAACATCCCCAAACTTTATTTTGATCGTTGTAGGATAATTTCAGCTTTTCAATTTCTTCATAGTATGTACACTTGATATTTATATCTGTTCGTATAATTCTTTACTTATCCTTACTTAAAGCCACGATGGGAATTATATACATGTAAACGCCTATCAAGGTTTTCTGTTACCGAAGGGATTATTTGTTTTCCTGAAAGAAGCTTGTTTTTTCCCTTGTTAAGTGGTCTATCCAATAATTCAGTGTGTTCTTGAGAATGGATCACCTTTCACTGCTAATTTGAATGCACTTAACAGTTTGCTTCACAGTCTTAGTAACTATCTAAACTTTAGCATGCGAAGAATGTTTATCAAAGAGACGGGAAGGAAATGCAATGTTATTGTCTGAAGTAAAAATTTAAAGTTTGAAACGTCAGGCATTAAGAAGGGGTAAAATTTTTGGCACAAACTTTATTATTTTCTAATCTTTAATTTTTAATGAGGAATTTTTCTTGAGTGACTTCGAAGGCCACCATAGTGACTATTGGAATAACCAATCAATTTTCGATATTTTGCAAGGAAAATACAACTTTTTCAGTCGAAATATAGAATCCTAACTGGTTATTTCAGTCGTTGTCATTATGGCTTCTAGCGTCACTCATTTTTTTCATTTATTTATCAACACACTAATCATTGCCTTAATTTTCCTCATCATCAGTGCAACTTCACTGTCTTACCAGTAAATGAAGTATGCATATTTGTATATTGTCTACATGTACAGTATGTATTACTTATTTATTTATTCATTTATTTACTTTGTTTGAAGGCATGTGGATTTATTCGAGACATTAGTAAATGTGAACCACAAAATTTGTACACTTATTTCTCTTCTTTTTCAAGTGACGGTGAGTTACAATGTGTTTATGTACCCATTTTATTTCAACGTTAACTGCCTTGTGTATTGTGTTTATTTATGTAATATAAGATGCATATTCATTAGTTGCTCTTGTATCAACTTATTTTTCCCTACGTTATACCTGTTTACCATGGTGTATGTTCATAACGTATTTTTTTGTCTTACTAACTGATCTAGGAATTCATTTATTAGATATACTGAGACAGAATCGCACGCAAAAGTGCATCAGTACAATTTATCGGACTTCTTAATGACACAGAAAAACGAACTGAATATCCCTTGATGTATACTTGGATCTGCTTCTTGTGGCATAAAAGGTGCCTGTCCTTCCCTAGTTCACCGTTGCTTAGGCTTTAATGAAACATCAAATGGTCATAGACTTCAGTCAGTCTGCCTCCTCTGTGTGTATCATTGGGAGACTTATTCACCTTCTCTGTAAACTGAAGGAATTAGTGGTGTAGATCAGTCCGACACGACTAACTCTAAATGACATTCCTAAAGACTTCTTAGGGCAAACCGAATACACATGATTGTTGTCTGAGCATGAACTCGACAAAGAGCAGCGATTGTCAATCGATGGTATAATCTGTTTACGTCTATCATCTGCATGATATCGGTAATGACCGAATCAGACAGTGCTTTTCCGTTTGTCTAAAGTTATCGCTATTCAAACAACTGATCATCAGAACGAAATTGCACCTGGTGAAAATATCCCCAATGTTCCTCTTCAACTGGCTCAAACTGCTTACTTACGTACTAGTCACTAAACTATGTTTGAGGGTTTGACCTTTTTGTAGCACGACTGACAGCTCGTTGTAGAAATCGTGTATTCTGTTATTTTACTTCGTATTCATATTTTCTAAATGTATTGGATTCCAACATTTAGTAGATTGCTGATGCTTTAGTGTAATAGTTATAGACAGTGATTATGCCAGACTACTCATATACGTATGGAAGTGTCTTTGTAATTTTTGTGTTGACGTTTACTATCATTTTTCACAACTACATAGGTTCTTGTCATCTCATTTTTATATGACCCTGGCTGAGCTGCTTGATTTCGTTGAAGGTGTTGACCAGTTTTTAGTTATCTAGAAAAGGTGTTCACACGTAATAAACTGCTCCTTTCAAACACTTTTACTGCCTCATTATGAGGAGGACACTTTCTTCATCAAGCCTTCAAGTTAAATTATTCACATAAATAATCTTGATCAAAGCATTCAGTACTTTCACGTTGGAATTCATCTTACTGAATCTGTCGTTCCAGAAAACTAAAACAAATATGCCTTTGATCTTTGTTTTATTACAACTCGTATACTTTGAATATATTTTTAATTGGGTTTAAATGCTGGAAACTATTCAATTTAGCGTATCCTGTTATTAATGTTGGCAGCGTTATTGAGTATTTTACGCGTGTTATGCGAGTAAATCACTCCAGATGAAAACTACAGACACTAAGCATAAAAAGTGTGATATTTTGTTGCAATAATTATTAGTCTTGCAGTATTTCGTTTCACTTAATAATTGAGTAGAAGTTAAATAAGTAAACCGAACTTCTTACCTTCTCATTCTTGTAAACGTGAACCAAGTCATCTGTTTCGTCACGTATAACTTTATTATGTTAACCGAATATTTGTGTTAATATGCACTCTTTAAACTATAAGCGGTAGCCGTTTGTGATGATTTGATGTTTAATAATTTTTTTCTTCATAAGCTGATTTCTGTACCTATAGTTGACCGTCAACAGCATCAATATATAGACAGAATTCTTTGTGTGTATACAACGCGGCACGCATTTTTTGAATACCAGTTATAATTTCTTAATGAGTAATATTGCTAAAAGTGTAATGCTTATTACGAATTTCTCTCCAATTTTTACAACTTTACATTCTGACAGCGGTTGACCTGCTACAAAAAATGCTTCATCTTGATCCAGATCGGCGATTAACAGCTGCTCAAGCACTGGCTCATCGTTATTTCGCTACATATCATGATGAATCTGATGAACCGGTTGCAGAGAAGTTTGATGATCCATTTCAAGACGATAGTAATGTGTCATTGGATCAACTCAAAGGTATTTTATTTTCCATTGTCTTTTTTCACATGCATCCAAATTTAGAATACTCATAGAATTTCATTACTACTAAGAATGAAATCTCATAAGTGTCCGACGTTTGATTTTTCGTGGTGCATATTTTCTCTCAGAAATTTGACAGCAGATAAAATCGACGGAGAATCTCATGCACAAATGCATTGCTTCAAGTTGCCATACTTCACAATAGTACACAAAGAACAGGTGGGTAGAAAAAGAGTGATATCGAAGTAGATAAAGTAGTGTGAGGGAATAAATTGTTTGAAGATATTGGGTTGTGCAAATATTGAGGCTTTAGAAGGTATCAAATAGTGAATACTTCTGCACCATTGTGACCGGTTTCCAGCCAAGTCATCAAGAGTTAGTCCTCAACCACTCACTCCTTTTGTCTTGGAGATTCCAGCCAGATAGTCTACACATCCCCACAGGGCTCAGACCAACAGTCAGGAACTTCATCGATTGGTACCAGATCTTGGTCTGGCCACATTCAGCCTTCTTCCCACATAATCCAGCTTCCTCTGATATGGGACGTCGATGTAGGCGGTGGCTCAATATGTGCAGTAGATTTCCTAGCCATCTCAGTTGATTAAAGTTCACAATGTCATCAATCAACTTGCCTGTCTTGGGATAGTGTTATATAGTTACTAATACTGTTTTTTTTCAGAAATATTGTACTGTTCATTGACATTTTTCATTGTATTGTTATGCAGTTTTATTGCCCATCTTTCTTTTCATAACAGAAGCTGTATGGAATACGTTGGAGAATTTTGTACCCAATCTGAATTCTCTACACTTATGCACTTCCGATGAAACGAGTACGGCTTGATTACCTTTTTTATACTTAGATGAGAACATTTTCCATCGGTATATTATGTATGTTTATGCACGTGTACATTTTTACTAACCAATGATTGCCAAATGTCAACTGTCATCTCACATGGCTAACCCCAACCAGCCTTTGCTTGTTTTATTTGTAATAAGAAATGAAAATGTTCTCTGTTTCACTGCCATTTCCTAATTTTTTACTAAGACTGCTCTGTACTCAATTTACATTGTAAAGACATTTTTTACAAACACTATATATATATATATATATATATATATATATATATATATATACTAAGCGCCCATAGTATTTTTTCTCCTCTTACCTTTCTGTAATTACCCTTATTGCTAAGGGAGATTTCACACTCTGTAATCGTAACAGTAAAGTAAAACCATGTAAAATTAAGAAACAAAATGATCAATAATTCAATCGTGCGATCAGTATGCAATCCTATGGTTTTTTCCCTTCTAAGTTGGTGATTATTTAGTAAGTGAATACAGGAAAACAAACAAAAGAGAAAATACTTTCCAATGTTTTTTTTGTATTTCCATCGTTCAGAACGTTTTGTATAACTTCAAGTGAAAATGAGAATTTTTTCTTTCTGCCATTTCTCAATCTTTGATATTAATGATAGACATTTCGTACTTGAGTTTCAGATGTTCAAATAATATTAGCGTTTAATAAACTTGGTATTCTGCACATAGGGAAATATTTAGCTATCAGACTGTTGGTTATAATTGATTTCAAGTAATCCGTTTGATATTCATGGAATAAAGAAGGTATATTAAAGCGTTTAAATGATTGAATTTTTTAGTTCGCTACATACTATAATGTAGAGCATCTGCTTTTTATCAGCCTATTGATGAATATTTTTATACTTATAGAATGATTGAACCTGTTTCTGACTTAAATTTTAACAAGGTTGTTTCCTCGATATTATTCTGTGATCTATTTTCGGTCTTTTCGGGTGTAGGTCATAATCAGTTAGCTTTTGAAAAGGTTTCCTGTTCAAAACCACCAAACACATACGAATTCGGAAGACAGTAAAAAAAGCTATTGAATTATAAATAAACAAAAATTCTTTATACTGAATGTCAGTTTTTCTGAGTAGCGGAAAATCGAATGATTATAGTGGGATCAAGTTTTAACAGTCGTATTGGACTGACGAAACAAGTTTTGGATAGTATGTAGAGGTCGAGTTTGCTTACTTTCAAATAGTTTCAATTGTTGCTTCCTATCCCCTGATTATCTACAATACTGCATGTTCCAGATCCATCTTTCAGCGTCTAATCCAGCGTGATTGCTTATGAAGAATTGTTTATGCAGAAAGTGCCAATGATGTCACCTGGCTTGATGATAAAACATTGAAGAACAAACTTTAAGACTGGGTGAACACTTATCACTCTGATCTTGGACAACAGATATCTAATTTCTCACGTCTTTGACCGTTTAAAAGCTGATGCATTTGTCGGTGGATTTTTGTGTTTCAGGCTACAGTCAGTTTTTGTAACGCGTCCACGTTTGTGATTCGACCCACCCTTGGTACAGAACGCTGCGTTGTTTGTGCAGGTACGACTAGGTGATCGATTTACGTGGTACATTGTCGAAAATTTCAAATTCCTGTTGATGTAAATCAAGGAAGTTGACGTGAATTGGTTACCACTGTGAGAGATGAGAATTTTACGAATCTAGACGAGAATAAAGGTTCTAAAACTTTTTGTGAAGTGGTATGATCTACAGTTGAAGAAATGTTAGAGCACTTGATACATGTGCCCGTAACTATCACCCAGTATTCACCCACAAATAAGGGTTTATAATTGACATAGATGGGATTCCAAGTTTTGGTTGGTTTCAGGTAGGACTGAATAGATCTAGATCTAGGTACACTGGTTACAGGTATGGCCGTTTCAACAATCTTGTTATCTAAACCATACCAGTTAATGATTAATTGACTGGGCTTACTATGTTTGTTCTTCAAATCAACACCCAATAGAAATGACGCAATACCTATACGAGAGATATGGAAAATTTTACAACCAATAAAAAATCATGTGACGTGACATAACTGTAAAAATCAAATGTCGAAAGTTGTGTCATTACATTGATATGATTATGAGCAATAGTTTATGCTCGAAACGTCATCAAGTAAATAATACAATATCACTGTGTGTTACAAATCTAATATGGAATTCTGACATCAAACTTTAGAAACTACTACTCAAACCAGGCAACTATCGTTTCAAACGCCAGAGCTTTAACCACTAGGTCTTCTAATGAGGTAAGAAAATCAACTATTGTGCCACGTGTATCAGCTACTATTCATTGATACTCCTAATTTCTCATCATAATCCTGGGTTTTATTTACCTAACTCTATTGGCCTATGGGTTTCTGAGTGGATGGATATCATTGATGTTACCTGAAGATTCATCATGTTTTAATTTGCTTGGTGGTGGCTATCAATGGAATTCAGGACGTGCAATTCATCTTTTTCGAAGCTACGGGAATGCTAGCTGAGGCATTACAGATTAGCCGTCTGGTTAGTGAATATTCGCTGGTCGATAATGCGATGAAGTTCACTGTGCTGATAGAATTCGACTGGTGTATTTTATAATGTGAATCGCAAACTTAGTGATTTCTTGGTTGGATGAAATCATCAGATGACCTTGAGCCAAAGTTTGAGAATCGCATTCGCAAACACTGGGGCTCTTTAAGGTTTCAATTATTTTCGTGACTGAAGTAAAATTTTCAGTATCACTTCTTAGATAGTCATGTTAAACACCGTGAGTACAAAAAGTCTGGTCTTGAAATTCGCACTTAATTTTTGTGTGAAACCCTTTCAGCAACAATCTTTTGTATTTTTCGGATTAGACACTTGGTTGATGCAATCAGCAGAAATGATGTGGAGAATATGAAGTCAGCTAGAGCAGTATATGTTTTGGTGTTTTAATACATTTAACGGAAGAGGCAAAACATAGTAAGTTCAGTCACTTAGTCTTTAACTGGTATGGTTTAGATAATAAGATTGTTGAAACGGCCATACCTGTAACCAGTGTACCTAGATCTAGAGAAAGGAACCGCTATTCAGTCCTACCTGAAACCAACCAAAACTTGGAATCCCATCTATGTCAATTATAAATCCTTATTTGTGGGTGAATACCGAATTCGAATAAACAAATCTAATATGGAATTAGATTGTATTACAGTGCTTATATTTTGCACCTATATTTGATGTTAGAAGTCAGTGGATAGAAAACCATGGAACTAAGTCTCCTGCTTCTTGACAGTCATCAGCAGGACATTTCTGCTATGATGTAGAAAACGCGGTTCACTCATTGATTTGAACCTGGTCTCTGACTTAAGCACTAAGCGATTTAGGTTTAAATGAACAGGGAATACCACTTTGCACACGGTTGTAGGTGCACCTTGCTAACGACTATCATGAAGCTTAGGTCTTTCTTCCGATTGATTACTAATATCTAATTTTGAAAAGTGTTGCATAGTAATTCGTTAAAATACAGTAACGGGATGTGTGTACAATTTGGTTTTCTTTTTATACATTCAGTTACTTCATTTTTGTGAATTATGAAATGTTATCATTTAATTTAGTTTTATGTATGTACGACTTGGGTCACATATAACAAGAACAGTGAGCATCTATCTTATCTTCTATTGAATGGAGGTTGGGAACGATAATCAAGTGACTATTCCTTGGTTGAGTTGTGTTTATGAGAAGTCATAGCTGCATGTGGAAATAAATGAGTGACTTTCAAAGCTATCCTAGCAACAACTGAAATGACCAATCAGGCTTCTCTATTATTTGAAAATCTGCCTTTCCAGCCTAAATGAAGAGACCAAACTGGTTGTTTTGATCGTTGCTAGGGTGGCCTTTGCAATCGCCCGAAATAATCACGTGCCCAGTTAGCCTCATATGCGAATTAGAAGTCCCGTTTATTATCCTCCTGAGCTACAAATATTCTCCATCATCTGAGAAAGTCACATGTTCAGAACATGCTAGTAGGAGTTAAAACAAGCAGTCATGCATGTCTTTTTGTTCTGAGACTGACTTTTGATCGTCGGGTTGGGTCTACTTTATGGAATTATCAGTTGGGAACCGGCAACCTTCAGAAGTACGTTCACATCTAGAATACCGTATGCAAAAATATATTAGATAAAGTTGATGGTTCGCCCCTTGGTCTCTCCGTTTTGAACCAGCAGTGAGGTTAGGCAGGGCTGTTCGGATTCTCCGTTTTTTAATTTTTCTCATCGATGAATTCTTTTGAAGGCTCAGGAGATGCCCTTGTCGATATAGGCCTACAACCAAGCAAAGGACTTCACCTTGAATATGAAGGTAGTGGTTTATTGTGACAACTTACAGGCTACTCAAATGGCATCCAATCAGTTGGGGATCAGTGTCCGTAAGTACGATACATGTATAGAACTGTCGAGGTACGAAGCCGTATAACAAGGTTTGGAGAATCCTGTACCAGTGAACTGTTGGAAGCGTTCGAAAAGTTTGAACATTTAAGTATTTGTGTGGGTTCCACGGATAAGATTTATAGCCGTCTATTGAAATCCGTTAAACATCGGGTGTGGGAGACTGCTGTACGCTTGTGAAACCTAGCCTTCTGAAGCTGATGATATCCAGCCTGTCTGTGTTTTCATTCAGCATCATTAGAGAAAAGGATTTCCAGAATTCCATTTAAACGCCATTTATTTAATGCTAATGTTCAGCATCGTAGACTTGATAAAGATTGTCATCGATTGATAAGTGTCATCTTGAACCACCGGTTTTAGTAACTTGAAAGCTATACAGGTACTGTCGCGTTAATTTTTATATTGTTTCCTGTTTGCTAACCTTCAGACCAGATGGAAGTGGTGAATAGGTGACTAGTGCATATTATAGTAGTATGGGACTGAAGATAGTTGTCCTGGGTTAATATTTTCCAGGATTTCGTAATTTAGCATTCGAAAATTTGTGCAACTCGGTTTGAAGTATCTTCGGATACGGTTTATAATCCATATTAGTGACAATCATGCTGGGGCTTTTTAGTTCCACTTATTTATTGTGGGTCTCTTCGTGATATCCGTTCTCATTGGAAATAAATAACATTATTAACCGACTCTAGTTACTCAGGGAAATTTTCTTTCAGTGGAGTTTAGGTTGCAGATGTATTATACAGGTAATACAAATTATTTGTTCTGGAGGCTACTAAAACTGCAAACTTTATTGCTATTCTGAACAGTAGTTAAGCTAACAGACCTAAATTGACTTCTAAACTTTGTAACAGGTTTAAAGGAGCATTAGTAAATAAGTAAGTAAATGTGGTACAATTTTAGCATGCAGTCAAAGACAACGGATAGAAAAAAGGACAACGAAGTATTTGAAACAATCAGTCCTTTTTATGAATTTGGATAATGTGATTAAAAGACGTAGTCTATCTGAAAAATATGATGTATTTGTACCATACATTTCGAACAGTCTGATCACACATTTGCTTGTTAAGGCATCTTGTATGAAAAATGTAATTGGAAGTGAGTATATATACGAGTGTAATAGTAATCAGAAAGATAATGAAGGGAGAATAAGAAGTTTTGAAATCAACCTTCGTAATGGCATAAGGTAAGCATCACCATGGTAGGTTAGGCGTAGAGAAAAACTGTATTTGAACTCAAGGGAGGCTTGAATTAATGTGTGGTTAGCGCCCCAACAAATATAAATGTAGACTCTTGACAGTTGTTATACATTACTGTATAGGGTGTTTTAATGTTTATCCCGTGACTTTCATCAAAAATGTGATTTGCTTTGTCTGCCACCCGCTCTTATCTATCTTGTAAGTTCAGTCAATCTCGTAGCCATTTTGGTACATGATCCAGCACCCTCAACTGCGTATCTCGATCAGTCCTCTTTATGTATGTGTCCATACACAAGTGTAAACTGGCGCACGCACTGGTATGTGAAACAATATTTTAAACTGATGAGGTGAGGAGTGTGTTTGGTTTCCTATGGTGCGTTAGCCTAGTTGCATAATTTTCCACTGATAATGGACCGTAGTCTTTATTTTAAAATGAAACTAGCAGATTCCTTTCTGTA